GCACCACAACTTTACGACGTCTCCTGCTCACGATGGAGGATGACATGCGGGAGCTCCAGCCAGAAGCTGTAGATGCTGCGATTGGTGAAATGAAGATTGTTGAGGAGGGGATTGAGGTTCATGATTTTGCCAATGGCTTAAATGGATATATTTCTACTCCTACAGAAATCAAGAGGTCTCACTCCAGTACACCGGGTCTTGTAAATTCTCGCTCTCAAACACCGCCCAGAAAGCAAAGCACCAGCCAAACACCAAAATCCGGAGATGAAGAGGATGAAGAGGTTATTGGCGGTGATATTACCGTCACCGTCGAACCTGGCAAAGCGCCAAAGCTATCGAGAAAGTCGTCACAAAAAGTAATTCCTCGACCACCCCCTCTGTTCAACGATCTTCCAGATTCTACAGAAGAGGCATCTTCAGTTTTTCAGGTAATCAAGGATTGCATTTATGGAGCTAAGCATATGGGAGCTTCAGATCACGATGCATTGGATTGTGATTGTCCCGAGGAATTCAGTAAGTCTACAAATATACTCCAAGTACTTTCTTTACTTTACGTGCCATCGGTCGCAAAATGTCCATTTAAGCTGACATGTTTTATCAGGCGATGGAAAAAATCATGCCTGCGGAGAGGATTCAGATTGCATTAATCGACTGACCAAAATGGAATGTGGTGGAGGTCATAAAGATTGCAATTGTGGTGTGGCTTGCCAAAATCAACGCTTTCAACGCAAACAGTATGCCAAAGTTTCAGTGATCAAGACAGATAAAAAAGGTTACGGATTACGCGCAAATACTGATCTACATCCGGATGATTTCATTTTCGAGTACATCGGAGAAGTTATTAATGAACCGACATTTCGACGACGTACCTTCCAATATGATCAGGAAGGAATCAAACATTTCTATTTCATGTCTCTTACGAAGCATGAATTCGTGGATGCAACGAAAAAGGGAAATCTAGGTCGATTTTGCAATCACTCTTGTAATCCAAATTGTTATGTCGATAAGTGGGTGGTCGGAGAAAAACTGCGCATGGGCATTTTTGCCGAGCGTGCAATCAAAGCCGGAGAAGAGCTGGTTTTCAATTACAATGTTGATCGATATGGTGCCGACCCTCAACCCTGCTACTGCGGCGAACCGAATTGTACCGGATTCATTGGAGGCAAGACTCAAACTGAGCGTGCTACCAAACTCCCTCATGCTACCATTGAAGCTCTTGGTATCGATGATGGTGATGGCTGGGATACAGCTGTTGCCAAGAAACCCCGGAAAAAGAAGACAGGTGAAGATGATGAAGAATACGTTAACAACGTTCAGCCAAAAGGCCTCGATGAAAATGGAGTACGGAAGGTTATGGCAACTCTCATGCAATGCAAAGAAAAATGGATTGCTGTCAAATTGCTTGGTCGAATCCAACGTTGCGATGATGATAAAGTTCGAAACAGAGTTATACAAATGCACGGTTATCAAATTCTTCGTACGACCTTGACCACTTGGAAGGAAGACAACAACGTGATCCTCCAAGTTCTCGATATTCTTTACAAATTTCCACGACTTACTCGAAACAAAATTGTTGATTCCAAGATAGAAGCGGTGTTAGAAGATTTCACGACTTCCGAGCATGAGGACATTGCTTTCGAGTCAAAGAGGCTATTGGAAGCATGGAGCAAGTTAGAGCATGCGTATCGAATCCCAAGAAGAGCCCCAACTCTTGTTGCACAAGTATTCGAACGGCGTCCAGACCAAGTAGAAAAAGTCACTCCATCACCATCCCCTGTTATTGTTGCCCCGACTGGCCCCCGAAGTGGTGTTCCTCAACGCAACGCCAACTTCGTCCCAAATCGCCCAATGTCTCGGCGCCCTTTTGTCCCCATGGTATTACCACCTGGCTGGTTCACTGCGATGGATCAAAACGGAAATGCGTATTATTATAGTAAGACGGGACAAACAACATGGGAGAGGCCATTTATGCCAGCGGGTGCATCACCGCCACCGCCACCACCCAAGGCAGCTCCAAAGAGTGTGCAAACACAAAAAGCTCTTCAAGATATCATCGACAGTATTACAAAAGAGCCCTCGACTACTCCGGCACTTTCTTCCCATTCCGCCGAGGGTACACCCAAGGAAAAGAAGAAGCCTGTAGAAAAATGGCGCTCGTTGCCGATCGAGAAGCAGATGAAATTATACGAAAATACTGTAAGTATAATGTGTCTCTTCATATTGAGTCTGTCAAATATTCATTTCTAACCTCTCATTATAGTTATTTCCTCATATCAAACACGTAATGCAAAAGTATTCTGGCAAACTTCCCAAGGAAGATCTCAAAAAATTCGCCAAGGAATGTGGGAAGAAGCTCGTGGCTTCTGATTTCAAGAACAATCGCATTGAAGACCCCACAAAGATATCCGACAGGAATCAAAAGAAAGTCAAGCAATTTGTGTTCGACTATTTCAAAAAGGCCGTGGAAAAGAAAAGGGAAATGGATGAAAAGCGAGCGGAAAGGAAAAGGCGCGAAGGGCAGGCTAAAATTAATGGAAATGGCACAAATGAAAAGGGGACAAAGCGAGAGAGTGCTGACGCGATTGTTAGTCCAGATGTGATTGATAATGAGAATTTGGAAGTCAACATACCAAGTCCAACCGCATCACCTAGTGGACAACTCGAGATGGAGTTGTTGAAGAGGAAGAGGGAAGATGATGAGGAAAGTCCATCGGAAAGCAAGAGGGTCAAGGAGGATGGCACTGGGAGTACAACACCAACAGATTCATCTACACCTCCTCCGCCTCCTCCGCCGCCGCCTGCGGAAGGGATGCCTATGACAGGATCGGAAAATTTGGAGACGACTAATGGTGAGGGCGAGGGTGAGGGTGTGGGCGAAGGTGAAGGTGAGGGTGAGGCGAAAGAAGAAACGGAAGAGGAAAGAGAGTTAAGGATGCAGGAAGAAGATTTAATGAGGGAGAATGAAGAGGCTATGAAGATGGAGATGGAAGTGGATACCGATGGAAGGTCGAAAGGGAATAATGTCTGTAGTCAGAATATCAATGGTGCAACTAGTAGTGGGGAAATCTCGATGGAGGGATAATATTTATTGCCAATGAAGGGACACAAAATTGGGAACCGCCTGTATCAACATCATCATTATCTTCATTCCAAAGAAATTCATCGGCATCGCATCGCATCCGGGGTCGGTCGTATCATATTTATCATATGGATAGGGAGCGCACTAAGTGAGTCTGGCGTTTACCATTTCTTCATCTCGTATTGGAGATCGAGAGATGAACATCATCTTAGATCAAAAGGATAGTTTGAAGGGTTATCAGTCACAGAGTAAATACATTCTGCTATTCCGCATGACAGGAAAGGAAAGTAGGCTATTTAGATACTAGGTCGTCAATGGAAATGGAAATCAAGTGAGTTGTAATGATAATTTATTAATCAATCGGCTTTTGTGAAAACGACGTGTGTGTGTGGATAGAGGTGAGGTGAGTTGAGATGAGATGAGGGGAATCTGGGTTTGTGGTTCTCTCTCTTGCGATATTTATGGTTCTTACCTACTTATGGTTGGTTATTTGAGGTTGCTTTTCCTGTGGTTTTTAGGTCGGGATATTTATCTTGGTGTGGTTGGATTCGTCTGGGGTTTTCTATATAGAGGAATCTTTTGGGTTTCTGAAATTGTAGATCTTGAATATGGGGTTTTTGTGGGTGGTGTGAGAAAGTGTGAATGGGATGGGACATATATCTGAACTAAGGGCTAGGATTAGATTAACTTTCCCTTCTTACATCTTTCGATTTCTCATACTTTCCTTTTATAAATTATAGATTTGCTCTTCTCTTCCCCTCTCCGTTCTTTTGTTTCTATTTCTGCTATCCTATCCTATTCTTTTCTTTTCATGAATATCATTATTGTTATTGTTTCGATCATGGGGTTTGAGAGGCAGACAGGCAGCGGGAGGGTGAGATTGGCGAGACAGATGCGGCATGCGTATTCGATACTTTTATTTGAATGTTAGGATGAAATATAGGAATGAGAGAGTGAGTAAATGATTTTTGTATGCGAGGTTTTGTGTATATGATGATGATGGGTTTCGATTCGGTTGTATGTATGGTGGGGAGATGCATGGATTGGATATATATACATATACATATACATATGAGTATGTAACTACCCTGTAGATAATTAAATATGTCCAACTCCGAGCAGAAGATTTCCACCTATCCATCCATCCATCCATCCATCTATCCATCCATCCATCTATCCTGAAATTCCAATCCCAACGATCTTGATGATCAAGCAGCCTGCATCTAAACTCCCTCCAGCGATCTCAAAAAGTTCCCTACCCTTTACGCATCTGTGTTGTATTATCATCAGAAACATAGATAGAAAATACAATGCTTAATCTACCCTCACAATCCACCAGCACATTCTCCGACTGAAATAGGATCCACAAAAGTTCCCTCCTGCGATTCCGTGGTAAGAACTACTCGTGATTATCTGGTCCGGGTTTATTACGGGATGAACCGGATTACTAGAAAGTAACTACTCACTTTCTAGATATTCCCTCTCCTTCCTCGAACATCCATTCTATCGCTAATAAATGGCGATTAAATCCTGCTGCTGGATAACTTGCGTAAGCGATTAACAGCTTCACGAATTGAATGCCGCGAGTGGATGTTCATCGTGTTCTTGTCATCGTGTTCTTGTGAATGAGTAATGATTGGGACATGGGAGGTGTGGTGATGTGATGGATTTCTCCTCTTCCTTGAAAGTCTTGTGATTTCGAATAGTCCGATTCGTTAGTGTTCCTGGGAAAGAAAGGTTTCAACTCATTTGGGAGATTTGAATTGCTAAATTGAAAATTGTTGGGGGGGATTCAACCAAAAAACATTTTCCCGGTTCATGTGATGGTAGAGAGTGTGATACGTCACTCCCTTCATCTCGTGTATATTAGACAGCAAGGATAAATCATTTCAGAAAGAACAAACAGTCTATTATGAAGATGTTATTGATTCTGGACTGTTCCATAAAAGTCGAACCAATCCAGCCATTCCATTCCGGTTGTGTCACCTAGCTGTAAGTTTGTTGGACTTATCCCTAGAGTCACTTCTTCATTGTCGAATAATTCGACAATCTGATGATCTGACATGGTAGAAAATTGAAGCGGCTCGGTAAAACCGGGTTCTAGTCTTGGTTCCTGCGCCTCTTGGGCGGTATCGCGTCCTGCTTGTTCGCAGTCGACGACAGATAGACCAGATGGAGCAGATCTTCGCCATGCTGTAGAATTCCGAATGACTTCTTTCAGGTGTCTACCATATAGAGCAGAAATCCCTTTTCTATGGGGAGTGATATTTCCTATCCTCTCCAAAACATCTGCAGTTTCCTCTATCAAAACTTTGATGCTTTCTCTTAGACCGGAGTCCTTGTTCGCAGTCATCGCGGACAAGTGAAGCGCAAAACATGCTGAGAACGATACCATAATTGCCGTATTGTTGGGCATGGACTTGAGAAGTGGCTCTCCCTGAACAGCAGCTCTCATAACATTCAATGCAGATGACAGACCAGCAGAACGAAAATAAGAAGAAACTGCCGGGAATCGGGTGGGGTAATTAAGGACGTTACTGTATATAGCAAGACGGGTGTGAGAAACAAGGATTTCTACATAAGGAGGTAGGCGAAAATCTTTGTTTCTCCCTATCTCTGGGGTCCAGGTTGAATACCAGTGATCAAAAAAGTCATCGATTGTTTGTCGAAGAGTCTGTGCAATGTCATGGCCTTCCAATACTGTGGATGCAGTCTTGTCGCAGGTATCTTTTATACAAGTGATGATTTTAGCCTAACACATCATTAGTCTTTGTACAAATTTCTCAAGAATAACATACAATATCTCGCCGCAAAACAGATGAAGCTACAATCGATCCATCCCAGGTATCAGCGAGATTAGAATTATGCCAAGTGTCACAAGTTGCCACGAAGGGAGATATTTGAACAGTAAAAGCTCTTCCTCGTGCCAAGCACACGCTATGGAATCATCTTAGCTTGTTTGAATAATACTTCGAAGCGAGAAACTTACCCTCTATCAAGATTAAATAGAGCAAGCCATATTCTTTCACGCCGGCGAATCAGTTTTTGACCCCATCTCGTCATAGGGTCAACTTCAATAAAACCGTCCATGTCGAGAGCCTTCCTTGCAGTAATGCAGTCTGACTTTGGAATGCTGGTTTGAATATTGCTTGTATTCTTCACAATGATCTTGTTTAGAGATACATCAAGTGCAATAGAGTGCGCCATTGCCATGTAAGAACAAGTCTCATCATCAGCCCAATGCTCTTCTGGTAACATCCATGGTATGTTGATCATAAATGCGAGAACAATTTCTGGTGATCTATACCTCTTTGATATCACATAGTGAGCAAGATGTCTACTGTGCTTGGAAAGACGCCTCGATAGCGCCTCTCCTGAAGGAATGAAAAGTGCAGATGCAGCTAACATGGAAGTCATGAGGAACGCAGATCTTGAGCGCACAAAGTCTGTCGTATGAACAGAAGGATCAAGGCCCCATCTCGTATGTGATAAATTTGCATAGAAACTATTAAGCTGGTCAGTGTTGCTGATATCTCCACTGGGGCAAATTCAAGGTGTTTCAATAGCTCGGGTGAGCAAACTTGATATAATTTGAGAGCTTTCGATGTCTAGAATGCTAGTTGGATTGCATACTTCAAATCAATTGAATGTTTTGACTGAAGTGTGTTCTAACCAATTTCAAGAACTGCGTATTTCTCACCAATCAACTGCTGTTCGGACTATTGAAACCCCCAGTACCATGTAGGCGCGACTCACTATTTTATAAGCAGAGTCACTTCCTCCTGAGTCACCAAACCAATATCGATAGGGTCTATATCACTTCCAACGTCAAGCCGTGGTTGAAAGGGTCCAAAGAATCGACGGAGCTCTCCAGTTTCTACCATCGGGGGAGGCATATGCAATTGTTTGGTTGCAGTATCTGCAAGATCTGATGCCCTCGCCAGGAGCTGCAGTGGATTCTCAGCATCATCCAAAGCGACATTTCCCATCTCGATTTGACCAATTGACTCATGAGCCCGGGATAATGATAGATTAGTAGCTTCTGGTAACCCACTGTTCATGTCATTTCGAGGGATTGGCTGCTCCATAAGCTGCGTGGAAATTTTGTCAGTACTCCCAGAAACCAGATTTTCGGCTTCGGAGAGAAGAAATTGTAGACGTCTTTGTTCTTCCTGGGGTACATTATCATTCTTGGAGCTTTTCATGGCCTTTTCAAGCTGATGAACAGCTTTATCTAATCCACTCCGTTTGCTGAATTGAGGTGAGAAGATGCTTAACAAGTTGGAAACATGTGGCTAAGGCTTACTTCTTGATCCCTCTTCGCCTTCCGACATGATAATCTGGTACCAGACATTGTGTATTGTTCTGACGACATCTTTGGCAATTTATATTAGGAGGTTCACGAACACAGCGAGTCTTGGTGCGTCGACAACTTAAGCATGCGGCTTGCTTCAGAGGCTTTTTGGAGATAGCATTATCATTATGTACATTAGGTATTTCTGGTACCTGCACATTCCAATCATTCATTTCAAATACGATTTCTGAGGCAAACTGCTGCGAAGGCTGTGGTAGTGACGAAAATCATTGGTGTGCTCAAACACTACTTGAGTATGCCTGGCGAAATTATACATCAACCGGGCTGGGGTTGATCGGTTACAGACTATTCACAATGGAACATTGTATGGGTTTCAGATGCCATTTCATGGTTGAATCTATTACCAGTAGCAGTAGCACACCGTTTGATGATTTAATTACAGCTCGGAAATTCAGTTTTATATGAGGTTCAATCATATGTACAACGTTTATTATACCGAAGAATAATAATAAATGTGTTTCTGAGTTTTTAGGTGATTTATATATATTTATACAATTAAGTCCTACGTCACTAAAAATCGGCAATAATTCTAGTACCGAAAGCTTCATCTCGGCCCTTAATTTATCTCCTTCTCCAGTACGTACCTCGTCAAGCTGATCTCATGGAGCAATTAACTTTCCTTCTCAAACAATTCTCACCACTGCCATTATGTCGAAACTTTCTCCCTCCTTGAAAGCTCTCATAAGTGCACCTTATGCTCGCCCAGGCTATGCACCTGCACCAAGGAATATCCGTTCCGTTTTCCAAAAGATTGAAGAGGAGGCTTCCGCGAACAATGTTGGACTGCTATCATGGCTAACGATCTCGGTACATCGATTCCCACCAGCCGTCGAAGAATAAACATGGGAAACTGATATCATTCAATGGCAGACAGCTGCGACTATGACCATGAATTCCCCCGATTCAATGATAGAGCTCTTTCGTCTTGCGACGAAGGATAAGGATCATGCGCATGCAGTGAAAACTGTGGAGCAGATGAGGGAGGTGGGACTGAAATGTATAGGTTTCAATGGGGTGAGATGGCATCATTATATACTAGATTGCTATAGCAGATTCTAACTAACAACGCGCCTCAGATCCCCAGAACAATCAATGTTCTAGGCCAGTTCCGCGCAAATCTACCAGATGAAATCATGAATTCGTTGAACAAAACACCATCTCGGTAAGCCCATTGACACCTGACGTACCTCTCAATACTAGGTATCTGCTAATATGTCACCAATTCACAGTGAATTGACGACTGCAAATGTTGACGATGCCAAAGCCCGAGGCCGTGGGCTGTGGGATTCTATCTATCGTCCCTTTGAAACAAAACTACTTAATAAACTTGCGGAATCACATCCAGATCTCCCAGTCTTCATCCTGAATTCCTATTCTAGTCTCTTCACCGATCCTTCTGTCTCTTCACGACCAGTCAAGATTGGAAGAGTTCTCACAAGTCTAATTGGTATAACATGCTTAAGAGCACAAACTGGAGTAGGTCCGCAGGTCACCAGTCACGTATTTGGTTTACGAAAAGCGTTTGAGGATGGTACATATAAGGCTGCAGGCGAAGAACCTGTAGAGGGAGGAGAATGGTTAGCAGACGAGGAAGGAAATGCTTGGATTCTTAATACCGTAGATAAGATTGTTGAAGCTATTGGTGGAGAGAGCGGAGGAACTACATTTGCCCCTGGTATTAAGGCAAAATTGTAGATATGCTAGTGCATTTTTGTATATGATACGAAGTATAAATATTGGAGGGCTCTAAGGCTATATCGAGTAATGATCTAGTGTCAATTAGTGATTTTGAAAGCGTCCGCATGTTTGATGAATATGTTATTCTCCATGCTTCCTCCCCAGATTTCCGATTTCAGGACCAATTCTTACATGCACCAGATAAAGCAACAATCTTTGGTACTTAACAATGAGTTCAGTAGTCGCACTTTACCCTGACATGCTTCAGATAGATCAAGAGGAATTAGCGAGTAGTAAAGTACTTGTTCGCCAACTGCGCTCAATAACTTCTCGCGGATTTCCTTCTTTTAAAAGCGACGGAATACAGAACTGTAAACCAAGACGATGCTGTCGAAAGCCCGTTGCAAATGTATCGAATCAGATGTAACGAACGATCCTGATTACCATCTTACAGCAGAAATCTCGCACACTTCCTGTCTTAAATGAATGCGGAGGAAGGTTATCTTCCAGCTTTCACTTAAGTATCTCTTCTACGATTCACAGGAAGCCTGGCGTCGTAGCTCTAGGTACCTAGTCATTCCACACACGTGGACAGCATTGTGAGCAATATCTCCGCTCCAGCTATACGAAATCTATAAGTAGCCCCACCAGCAAGCTATGTAAAAATGAAATGCAATCCTCGAATTCTTCTCGCGGAGCTCGAGTAGGGTCTCGAAAGTGAATTTCATGAAATAGCTGGTTAGGTTCTGATATTTGCGTTTGCGCACCGCATTGCTCTGTGTCGAATTATAACTTCAAGATAGCATTCGCGCTTTGAAAGCGGAGAAATCGTTTTGCTTTTGACGTTGATGGCTGATTTCGGACGTGGAGTTGGAGTATTGAAGAGTGATATACTAGCAGGAGAATTCCCTATGTTTGGGAGAGTATGGAGTCTAGGAAGGCTGGTTTATATTGTTAGAAGATAAACTCTCGCAACATTCCTTTCATTCCTTTCCTTTCATTTCCTACACACGCCCAAGTTATTGTTTCTCCTGTTAAGGGGTTCCACAATGATTATAACTACCTACCTACCTACCTACCTAGTATATTTTTAACAACTAGAGTTAGGATAATAAAACCAATCAAGAAAATTCACATAATGTGATGACATATGTATATATGGTCTATATTTTGATTGGCATTTGAAATATTCTCTACATTCGGTGTGCTCTCATCATCTCATCTCATCTCATCTCATCTCATTATATACTCACCACTATAACTCCCACAATCTTCCCACTGTCGCCCTAGCACCTTCAATAACATAGCATCACCATCTCATTTATATCCCACCATCTCCCCTGAAACTCTCAACACCTGAATACTCTTTTCTACAATATCCCCCAAACCCAATTTATTTCCGACTCTCATCTCTCAACTTTCAAACATTGAAGCCCGTGTACTCAGCCTCTGAATAAAGAATGAAGCAAAGGTATCAGTAGAGAAAGACCTTCTCGACTTGACACTAATTGTATCATGATGATGAAGGCTTGTTCACCAGGGAAGAGATCGTTCATACAAATTACCAGAGCGAGAAGCTTGCATATTCCACCACCTGATAGTAGAGATGAAACTGACTATTTTGTAGCAAGAAGAATCATAGATTATTGCTTAAATATTATTATGCATTGGTACACACCTCTTGTACACGCTCTCTCCTATCCTCTTTCGTCATCTATAAAAAGATGCAATTACCCAGCCCCTCCATGCTCTTCGTCTGTACCTATTTACCCATCACTCTTAATAAATACCTGGGATGATTCTGTATCTAACAATCTCCTTGTACCTCTTCCAGTCCTCGCCATACTTTCTCTCACATTTCTCCTCGTCTCTCATTTCTCTATGCACTAACAAGACTCCGAAGTAAATCACATAGAAATATGTGATGATCATACCCCAGCCCCTAGCTGCACCTTGCGTGACTTCTGTATGTACTGCTGGTCCACTGTACACGAAAGAACCATCTGCGAGGGATTGACCTGATGTTGGGGCCACCGAGCTGTGGTTAATTGAATAACCAGCAATACCAGTAGGAAGACAGTAAGACCAAGCCATGATCCAATCGCCGGCATAGTTAATATGACGAGCTACACCCCACCAGCCGGAAATGAGAAGTTTGGAGCCGGATTTTGTCTCGATGTACTTGAGATGTGCGACGCGGGGATCCGTCGGGTCAGTTCTGAAGCGGTTCTTCTCATTGTTAGCGCCACGGAAGATGTAATATCCTATAGCTAAAACTGCGAGAACGCCGCTAGTGCCAAAGACGCCAAGAGAAAGTGGGTAGACGGCGAGGTAACGAGCTTGGAGAGAATAGATGAATGGAACCCAGACTAAGTCTCCAAATGATAGCATGAGTCCGAAGCCATCTGTGGTAATGTCCATGGTAGTGAGGATAGCATTTTCCATCCAGTATGAATCAAGCACATAGAGTGTTTGAAATGCTGTAATCAACACGATACTGTCGGTGATGTATCCGTAAGTCTTGTATTGGTGAGCAACAAATGCATAATCCATCAGAAGCCACCCCATGAGACCTGGTCGTAGCTCACAGAATTCTTTGATGTCAATTTCGCCAAGCAATGGGAGAGTCACTCTTGGGTTGAGTTCTCTTCCAATAAACCAATCATATAGCATATTTCCAGAATGACCACCAGCAGCCAACTCGCGCAGTTCAGAGTTGCCAGGCTTAACACTGAAACTGCGGATGTAGACGAAAGTTGCGAGGCCGTAGGAGATGATGATGTTCGCTGTAAGTATTTGTAGATAATTGTCGTAGATGAAAGTCCACACTGGGAAGTCTGCTCCTTGTGCGATGGTTCCTGCAGCGCATAGAGCAAATGTAAACATTGTAGAAGACCAAGCTGCGCGATTCGTTAGCAAACGCTGTACCATTCATTCAATCGTGAAAGTACATACTATTGAATTTGTACTTGAGCTTTCCACCACTTGCGAGTTCGACACCCAACTTCTCTTCACCTGGCAAAACTCTGTGCAAAACCATGCTCAAAAAGTAGTAGCCTACTACTTTGAGAAATACATCCCAGCTCAATAAGCCGGCGAGTCCATTTGCGGGCCATCCAACCTCTTGTTTAAGATTGTTGATTGTAAGCGTCGAAGGAGAGAGGGAAGAGGGGACAGGACAACCGGAAATGTCATTGCAGAGAAAGGTCGTCGCGTAGCAAAGAAGGGGTAATCCGAAAGATATACCGAAAGCTCCTAATCTGCAAGATAATCAGTACATGTCGATGAGTCTGCATTTGCAACGAGCTACTTACGGTCCACCAAACTCATACCCATGAGGTTCAGCTACTTTTGAGACCGTGGTCTTCTTGGGAGCCATGTTGAAGAAGTTGTGAAGCTTTCAATCAGGGTGTGCTGGTTGAGAAGTTTCTGAAATATGAATTGTCGAAGGATTCAGAAATTACATTCAACGTAGTTTGAGGAGTAAATTTTTGAAGAGATATTTTCGGCGACTTTAAATCGTCATATAAGAGCCAAAAGAGGCACCGCAGAGTATAAAATATCGTGTCATTCGGATCTGAAGATTCCGTTCAGAATAATTGATCCTTGTCTTGCGTCCATATTGCATTGATGATCGAAGAAGAGCTGCTTTAGGAAAGATGGAGATTGGGGATGGCCCAAGCTTCTTCCTTCGGAGGCAAAACAGAGATCCGGGATACCGTCATAACATAAGGGAAGGTTTGATTGAGGGAAGGTTAGAGTGAAGGTGAGTGAAGTCTGAAATGAAAGTGAAAGATTGAGTGAGAGCGAGAGTGAAGGTTAGAGTGAAGTCTGAAATGGGTATAGTAATAATAGTAGTAACAATAGTAACAATTACTACCTACACCTACTACCAGTATGCTACGAACTTTTACGTCAGCATTCAATCATTATGCGAGGGCTTCTACTCGAGTACTGGTATTGGTATACAAATCACCATGGGACTTTCATACCGGTACCCTGCAATAAACCCCCTCGACCCCTTCACTATATCACTACCTGGCCTCTCTATCGAATCGCATGTTAGAACTACCTAGTCCCAGCCAGCTTCCATTGATGGTGATGCATGCCGTACCCTACGTGAATTGACCAGGTGTATTTCGAACATAGATCTAGATTTTGCATAGCTTGACTGTACAAGCCGTCTGGTCCCGCTGCTGCTAACATTCAGATAGATACCATAGGCTGAAGACTGGTGAACATATGGAGCTTGCTTGATTGAAATATACAGAATGTCATGTGATATCAAAGTTTAGCGCGTTTTACATCCTTGTTTACTTTTAAGGCTTGCCCGAATGTCAACAAACCCCCCAGAGCTTCCAACTAGCGTTTTCGATTTCATCATTCAAATCTTGGAATTCCAACTACACACATACATGATAACTGTCAATTCATTCGTACCATTGATAAGGGTGAATTTGATACTTCTTTTGAACAAGTTATTACTCACGACTCACTGTAAATACATTTGTTGGATATACCATCGACTGATATTCAATCTATTGTGTTGCGCTATTAATTATGGCGTCTCCTCCGCGTCGTCGTTCTTCTCGGCTTCGTACTCCAGCTAAAGTATGTATAGCTTTCCTATTATCATTGTAACAAGTGTTGGGACTTTGTACTAGGTACTTATCACTTACTCTAGACATTGCAAAATACAACTCCCCAGCTCACATCTCTTGCCGAAGATGATGAGGGTCCTGCCTATCCCTCCCTCCCGGACCTTTCGTCTCCTGTTCAAGCGCCCCAAACACCAGCTACCTCTGGTCGCATTGTCCCACCTAGAGAGGAAATGCATCCATCCATGACTCATAAATCTACCACACAAAAGCCCGACTCAGGACTCCGTCATGGCTTTGTTGATATCAATGCCAAGGGTGACGACCAGCCCTCTGGCGTTCAACAAAAAACACCATCAAAAATTGGTATCAGCTCCCCAACTTTCGACTTTAGATTCGCTCGACCTGCACCTGTTCTTGGCCCCGAAGCTCAACGTATGATGGATGAACTACGCGAAGAGGCCCTCCGTATCAAAGCTAAACTTGCTGCGGAGCGGGAGATGGAACAAAGAAACAATCCAGAGGGTAGCCAAATGGGAACCCGAAGAATTGCGCAGGCGAAGGGCAAAGTCAGTAGATACAGTGATGTTCACATGGCAGAGTAAGTTTTGTTTGAAAGTTTACTGATATTCGAGGAACATTCAGTCTTTGAAAGCAATTAAATATTTGAAGAGCCATGGCCCTAACTTCGTACAGGTTCAAAAAGATGGACAGTATCGCCAATCATCCATCCTCCTTCCGAGCCCAACCAGGCAGAGTTACTCCTACTGCAAAAGCTCTTAAGCGCACACAATCGAAGGCCAAGCTAGGTGACAGAGATGCCACTCTTAGCGAAGATTCCTCCCAAGATGCCGAGAGTGAACGACTTGAAAATACTGCACCTGCCAAGCGTGCTCGTCAGCGCATGACGGATGATACTTCCACTCAACGACCAATATCTCGTGGCAAGACTGAAACAATGGCAATGCCTTCTACTCCCCGTCACAAGATGTCCGGCATTCCCGCGCAGTTGACAACACCCACACAATCATCTTTGGCTCGTGCCCAAAGTGTTAAGCAATATTCAACTCAAATACCCAGCTTGTCAAGATCGCCATCAAAACCAAATCTGCAAAGCACCCCCCGCGGTATGTTAAAGTCTGCTACAATGAACAATATTGCTGGATCAATGACTGCACCAAGTAAATCCATGCTCCGAACCCCAAGCAGATTCGACCGTATGAAGTCTATCTTGAAGCATACAAGCTCCAGCTTCAGCTCAAAAAAAGCAGAAAAGGCGCCAGTTGTTCCTCCAATTGCTAAGAGTCCAAGCAAGCTAAATCTTGCGAGAGACCTACCCTCTGTCCCCACAACGCCTATCGGTGTCAGCCGTTCTAAGGGTATGAAGCATGTTGGATTCACGCCAGAGACAAAAAAGCACAGTGAAGCTAAGCACAACGAAACTATTGTTCCACAATCTCCATCTCCAGTGAAGTCCGGCATTCCTCGCTCAACATCAAAGTCGAATTTGAAAATCACTTCCTCAATTGCTCCCCGCAAGCCTGTATCTCAACAAGGACCCACTGATGGACAGGCAAAAGATACTGAGACATCTCAAACTAAAGCAGTACAGTACCCTTCCCTCGCTGGATTTAGACCTCTTCCAGAATCACCTCGTCAAGCTCCTCCCCCACACCTTCCTCCTTCAGTTCCTGGCACCTTTACTTTTCGCAGTGATCATACTATCAGCTTTGGTGCTTCTCCAAAGGGATTTGGTCCATCTCCTAATCAAGCCACTGTCCGCCAAGTCCGTCGGAGTATATTCCCTGATGCTATGCCTGGTAGCTTTCCTGATGGCAACAAGGAGAACACCAACCCTCCTGTTCGTGAATCGAGCAAAAAATCAACTAACCTTTCAGTTATGCCAACTGTTCCGCATGGAATGTCAAACAAGAAGCGTAGGAGAGTTGAGTCCGACGGCGAAGAGGAAACACGCTCACCAAAGAAGCAAAAGGCTCCAGAGGGCGCTATGCTAATGGCTCCAAGACTTCAGTCTGGAAAGAACGTTGTTGCCTCTTCGAATGCCACCCCAAGCCCCGCCAAAAAGAGAGGTCTGACTTTAAGTCGACTTAACATGCTTGCACGACCAAAGAGCCGAAAATAATTGATTTGACGATTTCTAGTCGATGATCTTGTCTAGCATGGAGTAGAGAATCTTAAATAATGGCAATTGCCCATTTATTCTTGTTTATACATTCATACGACCCTTGTATGTTCAGGATTTGTTTCTAATAGGATTGGAGTACATGGTTGGTGTCAACCTGGAGATATCGCATATTCATGCATCGCAAATTGGTGGATGTGTTTCATAGTGGCTGGATTTGCCTGGATTACTACATTGGGAGCTGTTATTATGTTATTCTTTCTCGATAACGGAGTTGCAAAAGGTCATGATTCATGTTTGTGTAGTTAAGTAAAAACTCCAGGTTGCTCTTTCTTAGTTAATGATAAATGAATAAAACGCTACTTATTTTTAAGTTTTCCCTCGTACCTGCACATTAGAAAAATGGTTACATGATTCTCCAATGCTGATTTTCGAATTCCTCTACTGTTCTCTTCTCTTTAAACAACATCAAATATACCGAATATACCTAGCATAGGGGCCGCGTCAATCAGTAGTAACTGAGACACCATGCTGGCACCTTTTTACATTCGTTTACTCTTTTTTATTCTTTGAACTATAACTACGCACTCTCGTTTCATCGCCCAAAATTATTCATTCATTCGGCTATCCACTATATTTAATACAACATCAATCAGAGTATTAGCAACACCGCTCTCGGGTTTGAATTCACGGTCCTCTCGAACGCACAAATATGACCGGTCGTCAAGGAACCCCTCGTCCAACCACTTCAACATTCATTGAACTCCGTCATCGCACTCGCCATACGATCTCTGTTCCGCCCCTCTCGCTAGCAAGTACTGTGTCGGATTCTCTAAAAGCAATTGGGGCCCCGAGCACGCCAATTGTTACTCCTCTCGTTCCTCATCATACTCAAATTTCCCATCCCCACACTCGTTCAACACCACCTCTCCCGCCAACCCCCGCTCAGCTTACCCCGACAATCACCGCCCTCCGTACGATCCAGAAGTCATCGGATCCCGCTTTCGTCTGTACGATTTGCTGGTCTCCTCAATATTTACCTTCCACGCCACGGGTCTTGGGGCGATCATCTAGAATCGTCTGTCATCAATGCTGGAGAGCGGTGTTGGATTTAAGTATATGTTGGGTTTGTGGGGAATGTATTGTGAGAGGTGACGATGTAGTTAGTTTGGGATGGTGTTTTTGGCATCGAGGATGTTTTGGGTGTTTGCTTTGCGGGGTCAGGTTAGGAGAAGGGGTTTTGAGGGAGTGTGAAAGTGAGTGTGAGAATGGAAGGGGAAGGTATGAGAATAATGGTGAGGATGGAGATGGAGATCGAAGGAAAGGAACGGAGTTGGACAAAATCCCGCTTTGCGATTGGTGCGAGACGGAGACGAAGATTAAGGGTTATGGAGAGAAGAAGGTGTTGGAGAGGGGATTAGAAAATGTGACAAAATCTGATGGTGGGCTGACGAGATGTAGATTGGAGAAATTAGATGAGGATAAGGGACTAGGAGGAAATTCGAACCTGAACTTGAATGGAAAGAAAGATGTCGTGGTCGGATTAGATGGGGAAGAAAGGGAAGAAACGGGGTCTTCTCCAACTTCGTCATCTTCTAGTGTTTCACCGACGAATATGACGAATAAGTCATCGAAATCGTCTACGATGAATGAAAGAAAGATCAGGAAAATCATACGGGACTCTTCTACTCCTCAGGTATGTATCTCAGTCCAATTCAGTCTAGTCATGAACATTCACATTAACACCATTCAAAAGGAAGAAGTCGCACTCCTCAGTGACGCCGCCAAAATGGGTGTATCCGAAGACGGAAACCCAGACGACTCCACCCATTCCCACAGCGACACGGAGCCCGCGCATTTCGGCCAAGTCGACGCATCCACTTCATCGTCATCAATTTCCTCTCCCCCAGCAGACATCTACGTCTCTATCTACGATCCTGCTGGCCAAGCATTCGTGCCTAGTAAAACTAAACCGCTTCTAAAATGGATGTCGCTGCTTCCGAATAATGTACATCGTGAACGGGAAGAAACAGAAGGTGATGCTAGTCAGAAGAAATCGCGAGCAGCGGTTTCGAGAGCAAAGCTTCCAGAAGCTTATGCGGATGGGGCTTCATCTAGTCATTCGGATGATTGTCCGGGAGATCATGGCCCTTTCACGTCGTGTCCAACAGGGGAGGGCCTGATGGAGGTTTCTCCTCGGGAATTTTCAGGGCAGGTGACGCCTAAAGGTATTTTATTATTGTTCTTCTATTTCACATATTATTATGTACTAGAACGTTCGATCTTGAGATATCTGACACTCCCAGACCGACTCTCTATCCGAGAACGCGCCGGTTCTGCCTCTGAAAGCACATCAGATAGTACCCGACGTCCATCCGCATCAACTCTTTCATCTCTCGCCCTTCCTAGCCCCCAACAAAAGGCATTCAAAACCACTCGTCCTCGCTCCGTCTCCATCGAAGAAAAGCTCCCCCGTCCACATCAACACCCCGCATCTGCCTATCGTCGTACAAATCGCTCCAGCACTATTGAATCTGCCTGCATCAAACCCAATGGTCTAGTCCAAATCATTCCACATCCCGAACACACACCGCGGGACGTTTCAGAAAGACCGCTAACGCCCTATCCCAAGAGCGACAGTCCAGATCCCTTCCAAACCCAGCACGTTTCTTCCCCATCCTCTTCTACTCCTCACCCAAACCCGAAAGCAACCCTCCTACACTCCCCCCTCTCAAACTTTATCACACCTCGAAAAGGCTCCTGCTGCGGACTCAGCACCTCTCTCGAAAGTGCATCGGCAGGAGAAATAAATAAACGAGAACGCGGAGAATCGAGTTTCGATTCCGTGTTTGAGAGTTTTCCGCGCCCGGAAATCGGGAAGAATAATAGTAACTATGCGTCGAGTTTATGTCGCAGTCCGAAATTGGGGTTTTTAGAAAAGGGGAATGAGTATTTGGAGTATATGTCGGGGGTGATATTGCCTGGGGGAGGGAGAGAGGGGGATGCGGGGAAGGAGGTGGGGAAGGAGGGAATTGTGGAGAGGATTCGGAGACAGAGGGTTGGGACCGTGAGGTATGTTTCTTTTATTCCTTTTAATTAAAGAAACTGTTTAGGCGGAGGAAATTATGTTCGAGAAGAGAATGTGCTTAACATACTAACACAATCTTCCCCGCAGTCTCGGCCAAGTAGCCCAGAACGTCAAGGGAGAGAAGGAAAGAAAGCGCGCGGAAACACAGACTCAAACAGAATGGAAATGGCTTGATCATGAATCTAAAAATCATACGCCAAATGCAATTGTAGAACAAGAAGCGAATGCGCAAGTGGGGAGTAGTAGAAGCTCGAGACGAAATAGAGGGGTGAGTGAGGATGAGGTGGGAAGGTTGTCGAGGGATGGGAGTAGGATGGGTGGGAGGAGGAGGAGGGGGACGAGTGGGGAGGAGAGGGGACAGGGGAGTAGGGTGGGGAGTAGGAAGGAGATGGAGAGGGAAAGAGAAAAGGAGAAGATAGAGAGGGTTAAATTGGGAAAAGGGGATGGGAAAGGGAAAGGGAAGGAGAAGGTGGGAGAGGAGGAAGAGAGCCGTACAAAGGTTGAGGATGATGTTGGTGGTGGCGTTGATGAGAGTAGAGAACAACCAAAGAGGGAATTGAAGGGGCTGGTTGGTGAGGAGTGATGTCTCCCGAAAGGTGGAATGGATAATAAGACATGGAAATTGAGACTGAGCGAGAAAATAAATTGTTATGGGTGGCTATGGATAGGGATAGTGCTACGAGTGGGAAATTCAATGAGAACCTGAGGAGACCTAGATAAAATAAAACAAGATAATACATATTGCGATTAATATTTGAATCTTTTTGACCGCTAAATACTTTTCAACTCCATAAGCAATATCGTTCGTTTTCGTATACGATTGCGACTATGACCCATTGTATGATGACAGACTCTTTAATACCAGGCATACTTTATTTATGACTCTGGTAAATTCCAAATTTTAATACATTTAAAGCTCCTTCAAGACCTTCTTTAATTCCTCAACAACAGCATCACCAACCTCAACAGTCTTGTTCGAACCACCGATGTCGGCGGTTCTGACTCCCTTTTCGATGGTTCTGCGGACAGCTTCTTCGACGGCTTTAGCTTCGACTGGGAGGTTGAGAGAATACTTGAGCATCATGGCGACGGAGAGGATGGTACCGATGGGGTTTACGATGCCCTTGCCACTGATATCTGGGGCGGAGCCTAGAGGAAATTGTTAGATCTGGACATGGAATAATGGTGGAAAGGTGGAAAGGTGGTAAAGTAACAAGCGGCGAAGAAACATAGAAACATACCGTGAATTGGCTCGTAGATACCATTACACCTGCTCTTTCCATCTGGAACACCACTCAAACTTGCACTTGGCAAGAGTCCAATACTACCAGGAATAACACTGGCCTCATCACTGATAATATCTCCAAACAAATTGCTTGTCACCACAATACCGTTCAACTTTCTTGGGTCTTTTACCATCAACATGGCCGCACTATCAATCAAATGATGTCCGATCTTCAATTGTGGGAACTCCGCAGCCATGACGTCGGTGACAGTTTTGCGCCATAACCTCGATGTCGCGAGAACGTTTGCCTTATCCAAACTCCAAACTGGTGCTGGGGGGTCTTGCGCAAGGGCAAGGTTTGCTGCTAATCTCGTTACACGCTCGATTTCCTCTCTGCTATATGGTTCTGTGTCCCAAGCCTTTCCATCTCCGTCGTCCTCCTTTCTCTCTCCGAAGTAGATGCCTCCGGTCAATTCTCGCACAATGCAGAAATCGACGCCTTCGCAGACCTTTTCTTTCAATGGGGAGATCTCGGTCAAGGTAGGTGATGCGAAATTACAAGGTCGGAGGTTTCCATATGTGCCCATTTGTTTGCGGAGAGCAAGGATTCCTTGCTCAGGACGTACTTTTCCAGTTCCCCATTTTGGACCACCGATTGCGCCAAGAAGAACGGCATCGGCATTTTTGGCAGCTTCGAGAGCTTCGGTTGTGAGAGGCTCACCGTGGGCATCAATTGAGCACTGTATTGGGGATGAGGTGTAAGTATGAGACTTAGAAACCAAGGAGCGTAAATGTAGAGACTTACACCACCCAAAAGATGTTCTTGGAAATTGAACTTTCCAACTGATGGTCTATCGCTTTCTACAACTTTCAGGACTTTGATAGCTTCCGCTACAACCTAATTAGAAGAGTTAATTAGTAAATTCCCTTCTCCAGTTGTTCAATTTGAAGCTTTGAATGGCTATGCAATACAATTTCCAACCCCGTATTCTCTCCACAAACAGGTATTGAAGCAACAAGTAAACAAACATACCTCAGGACCGCAGTGATCACCACCGAAAACCACAATATTATGAGTTGACATCTTTGCAGTAAGAAATCTCTTTTAATGAATGTTCGACAATTATAAGTACAATGGGTATGTAAGAAGAGAGGAATGATTGAATTGTGTTATCTGGGGACGAGAAAATGTTTGGGGAACAAGAATGACTTTATTGAATGCCCCGCCCCCACTAAGTCCGATTTCGGAATGAAGCTCCACGCCCGAACTCGGAAATCGGGACGTCGCCAATATGGGTAGGGGGTGATTGGATGATTTAGGGTTAGGGACAATACGAATATATCTCTACATAAGGTTAGAGAAATTGACTTTGAATTATTCGAATGGACTTAGAATATGAAGAGCTTTGGAATTCAGATACATTCAAAAAATCAGATGCTCTTCTTCATCCAGACCAATCCAGCATGTAAACAGGTTGACTCTTGGACATGTATCGAACAGCGTCTAGACAATGTATACACGAGCTCGGCGAATATCAGGTAGGTTAAGGTATATATATATATATATATATGTATGCATTTATTTTGTGCTATTGCTAAGTATCCAAAGAATCCTTAAATCATTGCACTTCTCCATACATGCCGCAATAATCAATCCCAACTCCGCTTTATCCTTTCCCTTTTCCCCTTTCCCCTTTTGCCCTTCCCCCGTTCTTTTCGGTCGTAAATCTTATTCTTGTATTATATCTTGGGAATCATGCATAGTGACTTTGATCTGTATTGTATATGCTCTTTGAAAGGGGGTATCAGTGTCGACAAAAGAAAATAGGTATAAAAAAAAAGTTGATGGTAGGTAGGTGTTAAAAACAAGTGGTTTGAAAAATGCCCTCCATCTGATGGGGTTTCCCCCGGTGGCAGTAGGAACCAAAGGTAAAATAAAAAGGCTGAAGCTTATAATTATCATCCATCAAGCTCCAAATCTCAAAGTTTGATATGTGAGATATCAATTCGATATTTGTCAACGAAATGATCTGACAGATTTGTGGGCAAGAGGAGAAGAAGGCAGACCCCTCTTCTCTCTTGCAGACTCTCGCACACGACCGTTCCGCATGTTTGGTGTCAGGGCACAAAAGGCACATATGTAAACCTTCGGGAGTGTCCTTCGATCTGGAATATTGACACATTGTCCATGAAGCCAATTCTCACAAGACTCACTTGAAACGAATTAGACAATTTAAGCTGTAACAGTAGTAGCAAACTCACCATTGGATCATGAAAGAGTCCCCCTCCGCGTTGTTACAGATACACCGGGTAGTACCACTCCTCGAGCTGGATGGCGTTGCTCCATCGGGAGAATTATTAGACGACGAAGTATATTCTGCATAGCGGCCTGGTCTAGGGGTTGTATCGGAGAACAGACGAAGATGTCTTCCATTTTTTGACATTCTTTGATTACTCCGACGCTCTCTGACAACCTTCCGCAAAGCAGAAGCTGCATCTCCGATCTTGATCTCATCAAGTACTGTCTCTGCCTCACTCATCTCATCGATACTCGTGTGCTGACCCGAGGACCGACTATAGCCGCTTGTACTTGTGCTAGGTCTGCGAAAGTCACGAGAGGAAGCATCGAATAGATCAAATCTGGGTGGTCTCTGCTGAGGTAGATTGAAAGAGTTGTTTCGGCTTGGAATTATGATTGGTTCGTCATCAGTAGAAGAATCATACTCTGATTCATAATCGATGACTTGAGATGATGACCGTCGCAAACTTCTCACTGATTCATCGTCAACAACAACAGTAGCTCGACCATTACTACCAATGGCAAGCTTGACATCTCGTCGAAGTTTTGGTAATGCCGCTGGAGACTCAGGAATAGAAGTAAGATTTGGATGACGTTGCTGTTTCACAGGAGATAAACGTCCCGAGTTAAAGCGTGGTGGTTCTTATCGAGAATGTTAGCTTGAAATCAGGAAATAAGAATATCCGAACTATACCACTACGACGTTGATCCCTATTACTCTCACTGACACTCCGTCGAGGACCAGGCCGTACGGACCCCTTGACTGGTGAGCTGGCAGTTCTCCTATCTATTCGATACCCCATACTACTCTCTCTGAATCTTCTTGATCGACGAAGTTCTTCTTGTTCGCGAGTATATTCTCGAACTTGATGTTGGTACGGTTCGAGTTGCTCTAGATTTCGAATCGGACTTGTAGTTGCTCTTGATGCTGGCAAGATCATATCTTCTAATCCTCCTTGGGACGTACTACCTGTACTAGGGCGACTGTATATTATACCAGGATCGACCACGCCAGGAAAATTTTCCATGGCTATTGAATTCGAGGTTGCTGTCGCACTACTAAAAGCTAATAATGGAAGTGACGTAGGGAGTGCTGAAGTTATTGGTAAGGAAGTTTTCGAGGCTATCTGTCTATGTCGTTTGCGGGGTTCAGCTTTAATTTTGGATTCGCTTGATTTTTGAGGCGATAAATTCACTGATTCTTGAAACATCTGGTTGCTTCGTCCCCAATCAATAGAATTACTTGCCCTATGACCTTGTTGGAAAATACCCGCCGAATCAGTTGAGAAATCCAAATCCATGCCATCCATACTAGTATCCCATATTGCTTTGTTACTTTCAAAGAATGGGGTTAATGCGGGTGCGGTCATTGGATAACCGAACGGATCCATAGCTGTTGAAGATTGTGCTATCAACTGAGGATGGTGATTATTTGAGTCAGAAGACTCAAAGCCATTACCTTGAACTAGAGCATTATTCGATACGTTGAACATTTTTGGGGCTAATTTCCTAGTACCTTTTCCAATAGAATGTGGAGGTGTAGCAGTTTGACCACTGAAAGGATCATCCAACCTTTTCTTTGACTTTTGGGGGGTCTTGGAAACATCACTAAATCGTGCTCTGGAAGCAGTTTGCGGGGCAGTAGCAGCAGATATCGGTTTGTTGGGGGATGTAGTCTGAGCTATTGCAAACCCAGAATTTGGTGACAATTGATGCATGTGCATTCCCATATCTGTCACCATATCTCCCTCAACATGATAATGTCCATTGTGAGTCAGGGATGACAGTGCTTGAGCTGTTGAAGTATCAACAAACGGCCGTTGCCCATTGACGAGACGCCCAGGTGTTGCGTTGAACATAGAATAATCTTCTGCAAATTGTGGGGTCCATCCTCCCTGGCTCCCTTCATAACTTGCTTGCTGCTCCCAACTCATTGCAACTCCTCCCGTCCGCCCTTTTGAGATGGGGTTCGAGAATGAAGTCTGGCCAGCCTCCTTCTATACTGCATACATTCAGGCCCCGGTGTTTCTATCCTTTTGTTGATGTGACTTCTGATCCAATCACTCCAAAATCCCAAAGCCTTTATCAATTGATAAAAAATCTTTTGTTTTCTGCGAAGTGGAGCTCTTTGAGTTTTGCTTAGCAAATGTAATTCTCCTTGATCTGCCCGCAGCCAGCCGCCCGCTCCCGAAATGATGGGTTCCCGAAATTTGTTGCAGAGGCAGTTGAAGATAACTCGATGGGAAGGACTCGATATAGTTGCAAAGCACTATTGGTATCGAGGGCGTGAATGATTTACAGCATGGCAAGGATGTATATCTGTTTGATTTTTCTTGAAGTTGGTTTCACATGTGGTCAGCAAAGCTTCTGAGGGATATTCAACAATGGAATAATAGATAACGTCAGTACTCACCAGAACAACCAACAGACAATTGCCACAACAACAAATGTTTTGAAGGAAAGATACCAAATTAGAGGTCAGAGGTCGAAATTGAGACGTCTACTCCAGCTACCAAAATAGCGGGGATTGTTCCAGGCAACCGGAAGGTATATCCACTCTCAATTCGCTACAGTAGCTACTTCAGGTGCTCTGAAGTCGGTGTCAGAGTCATACAAGGGTTGTCCAATCTAGGGAAGATCTCTTGCTCAAATAGAAGGTACAAGATCATAACGAGCTTCATTAGTGATTGTTGTAAAACATTACAATTAGGAGAGCTCTGGTCTATGGTGTTGCTCGAGGGACAGCACCATACGGAAAACACCAAGACCGAGAGAGGAGGTACGTTGGAGATCTTCAAGTGTCTAGATGGTCAAATGAAAGTGGAGGCAAGCCTTCTTTGGTCAGAAATGCTGAAGATGGCGGTATAGAAATGGAGTGTTGCTGGGCCAATTCCACACCAAACGCAAGCAAATTAAAATAGTGTGAATAGTGTGAATATTGTAGAGACGGCGTGAGCGTGAAGAGAAAGTAGTGGGAGATAAATCAAGGAAACTTTTTTTGGACCGAGCGAACGAAGGGGGTTTCCTTCCCGTTCTGAGATATGGCCGGGGCGTTTGAGCCGGATAAGTTTGGGGGGTGTGTGTGAAGGATCTGGGCTGAGAGGAGCAAATGAATGGATAAAAATCAAAGATTAAAAGATTACATATTACCGTGTGAGACGAGAGAGCGGATGAATATAATGATAATGATGGGATTGATACTCGTACTCGGAGTTCAATTACAATTATATCATAGATGTAGACATAAAGAAAGAACACAAAATCATCACGCGAATAGATTATGTTGTCTCCGTGTGAATATACGAAGTAAGGTTATCTACAAGAAAAAACAGGCCGGAATTGACCACTGGCAAAGCTCTTCAACAATTCAATTGTTCCATTCCAATTCAGAGAATCAAATACTAAAATACTTCATAGTTGAAGATTCTTCAAGGATTTATTTACAGCCATTAATTTCTGTAATTTCATGATTAGTTGATTTATCATAGAGTTTATTAGGGTGATCAATTTTGGCCTCTTTTTTCTCCCACGTAGAAACAAATGGTGTATTACCTAGCAACCAACCCATTAACCCATCATCAATCATCATCAATCATCCTCACCGTCATCCACTTTCAACCGCCCTGAACGTCTGTCCAATCAGTTCCTGCTGTCTTTGGAGAGACGATTAGTAATAGACCTCCAAATTCTAATACCTCATATCGTGATAGGTGATATTTTACTCACAAGTTCCTGCGTACCCAAGCTTCTCATACTCTACACCATTCATTCCTCTCTATACCAAGAGTGAGCTAGCTTCTTCACGGGCTAAATGCTATATCTACAATGCAATGGAGATATATTGAGTATTAGGATGAACGCCCATCTGCTGCTGGTCGTGTTGGCTATATGAATTTGACGATTGTGGGTGCGATGTCAACTGCGTTCATGTAGGATGTTATGGTGAGTTATGTAAACTCAATCGTGGGAGAGGGAGGTGATGCCTGAGTATAATCAGAGAAGCTTTTGAACTGACAGCATCTGGGGAAGGTAACGCCTCCGGGTGGAGACAAGGTCGCTACAGATATTGAGAGGAAATCCATGAAGCACTTTTCTCTGGTGGTAGGTGAGGAGTACAAGATGGCATGCTATGCTCTGCTCTCCGGACTTTGAAGTTTCCATCTTCGTGGACATCATGTTGGCAGGAACTATCTTTCTGATTGACGTGCCATTCCTCTGCTTCAGAAAGCTCCTGAAGTTTGGGTATCTCTCGTGGCATTAATATATATCTAGTACACACTCTCCAATGCAGCGGAGAACTATGAGGTGAGTACCTAGGTAAAAAGTTGGTACTCCGCTATTCTCCTGTTCGACAAAGATACGACATCACCAAGGCCTGGTAGCATACGAACGCCATTGTCAAATGGTAGCCATCAAGAAATACTTTTTATGTTCTCAAGTTGCAAATATTGCCAAAGAGTAGTCATTTCTTGCTCTTGAATTAAATTTTTGTTTGGCATCATCTTCATAACATTCTCCGGTCCCAAAATGCCCATGGAATCAACCCCTAACCCAGTAAGGATTCGTCGTGACATCGACCATTTCCGCCCTCTGTCCGGGGTCTAAACTCGTCAGTGTAAGCATCAATCTCTTCGCATCATTATTAAAATTGGAATAATCAGCTCCGGTTCATTGCTCGAAAGGCTCATACCCTTCAGTCCGCTCCTCATCTTCTTCAATCATTTTCCAAAGATCCTTCAAGTGCTCGCCTGCTTTCTCATCATCAACATGCTTTACAAGCTCATCCGGAAGCGGCCCAAATTCGACAGCACCTCGTGCAAGATTACCTGGTCCAGTTCTACAGATAGACTTTCGAAATCAGGTTTAAAGGGTTCAGTTCTTGTAAGCACAAAAAGGCACTGAAAAGAGCCATATTATTAGAAATGGGGACTATATGAGGATTAAATTTGACTTGCCAGAAGTCCGGAAGAAAACACCTCCAAATGCTTCCCCATTCCCATCCTTAGTCGTCCTTCTGGGCTTTGCCACATCACCCTTCCTCTCTTATGGTTTAGAAGATGCGTACCTATGAGTTGCAAAGCACAATCTAAATCGCCCAATTGCACCTTGCCAAGGCAGAATTTGGTTTCCATCTTCACATACCAGTCGATGAAGACGTTGTCAGGCTTCGCATCCAGAGTATAGGAATAAGGTCAGGAGAGAACTCTGGGCAAAAATCATGGATGGGTTAAGACAGTCTACCAAGGTGTATACAATTTCCAGCGTGCATATCTTTCAATGCCAGGCCAAGCTCTTCGAGGATCGTCTTTCTTGCTTGCAAAGGAAGAGGAGGACAGTCGCTTATCATTTCAAGCATGTTGGATCTGGCATAATCGTAGAAAAGTACTCGGTTCTCCTTGTCTTCATCTACATGATGTCGTATTTGACGAACTTTGACGAATGCCTTTTGCGCTCTTGTGAATGCTCAGATATTGAGCGGGTAAGGGGTTTCGATACGAGGGCCATATTGTCCTTTCTAAGCCTTGCCCAGATCAGCCTGTTACAGCTAGTCATTTTCGCAACGAGAAGCACGCCAAATTGTGATCTCAGAACTCACTCAGAGGCCAGATAGATGTTGAACTCCTGATCATTGTTTGGATGTTTGTAGAGAACACAACCCAGCTTATATACCTCACCGGAGCAGCCAACGAGTGTTGAGATCATTCTCACACTTTTGAGAGGACGAGTATGATTTACAATCATGTAATCTACGATTAGCATTATATAAGAAATCAACAGAGGTAACAGGAGAGGAGAGGAGAGGTTATAAATCTATATAAATTTACGATGCTCGATGATATTTTTATTGTAAAGGATTGCGTGGATAGATAGAGATTGGAGTGTCTTATACTGAGATGCAATATGGATTGAGGGTATCTTTACTAGGTAATGGTTCGAAAAAGAATCCACGGGCGCGACCTATACCCCATCTCTAAAACAAAAGATTCTCTCGACATTGGGATTGTCTCATCTACTCGAGTAACCAAAATGTCTCCAATGACAACAACAATCATTTTGACTACTTGGGCAATGTTGACCTCAGATTATCGTACTGACATCGCCAGTTTCATTCCAAGAAAGGGGCTACTGAATCATTGGTCTATCGCCATTGTAATGTTGTCACAATGCTTCCTTTTGCCTTTTTTCGAACACACTATAATGCAGCTAAGAGCGCCTTCGCGAATCCATGTCCAATCAGGAGGAAGTGCACTTTTTCCTTCGTAACTACAAGCTTTGTCCTGATTATCTAATGATCGCTTCTTCTACCCACCCCCTCGCTCCAACGCCATTCTTATCATAACTTCCGCTCCTCTATCCGATGTCTAGACAAACGATATAAACCCCTCATGATAAAACGGCACAGCAGCCATCGAACTTTCACAAGATTCGTCACGATAAATTGCTTGTTTACTCATCTTGGCCAACGCATGAATTGACGTTCAAGTCTACACCTCTAGCGCCTTCATCGATTCTCCCTCGGTGAACCATCGGCACGACTTCACCCCATCGCACGAGCCGTCTAACTACAACCAACGTCAAAAAATCCAATATCAAAAGATACCTTGATCTATATTTTCTCAATATGAACCACACAATTGGTACGTTGCTTCTTCTATCTCAAGTGCTTGCATTTACTCCGTATCCGCCATCCCGCTTTCATCCCATGATCCACACTCACATCCTTCTCCGGATCTCACGGTACTGTATGATATCTTACCCAGCAGCACAACGCATAAATTCCCATCTCACTTTCCCATCTTCCTTCCCTGCACGATTGCTATAACTACATTTTCGCCATCCTCGATCCCTCCAGAAATCTTCGTCCCCTGTCTTCCAATTCCTTATCGAGACTCTCTATCCCACCTTATAACTCTTCTAGCGTATAGTCATATCTCACACCCTGTCTTTCGTACCATTTCTGAGTTCTTTTTGGATATCTAGTTTCAGTCCGGCTGCTTCAAACCCTGTATTACGCCATCTCTTCCGAATTCTTCTAGCTTTCCAGCTAAATATGTTCTACATTATCCACTCTTCCAAGATCCGACTACTCTAAGCCCTATATCCATATTCCTGCTAAGATGCCCCATTACCTATCACCACCATTTCGAATTACCAACCACCTCCATATCTCACACCCTCATCCCTCAACCATATCACACACACTACTAACTGCATAACCTCTCAAACTCACCCCAACCCACTCCATCCACTTTACGCGTCCAGTTTCCTCGCACTCGCACACGACTCGTACCAACCTCCGAACCCGTGGAATTTTCGGACGAAAGAAAAAAGTCCCTTCAGTCTCCAATCTCTATCTGACAACCACACAGTCTAAAAATCTTAACTTCATACACTCTAACGATTTCAAGTATCTTCGTTATCATCACTTAAGCGTTTCTTCAAAGCACTACTCTAAGCCTCACACACCCTAACAAAATTCACCAAACATCTACAAACATATTATACGCGTCCGAGCAGGAGTCCTTAATTTACCCACTATTCGCCATCTAGGAAAGTCATCTGGGCCTCTAAAAACACAATACATGACATGTATACTAGCAGAACACGTGTGAGCATCCAACAAGTTGATCAGTTAAATCCGGAAATAAACCATCGTCCACAACTCCAAATCATTGCAAGCCCTGCGATCCAGAGCTCCCATCTCAAATTCCAGGATCATCCAGTAATGCTACGACCCGTCTGCTCACTAGATACCTATCAGCACACCCGTATAGTCAGCTCATCATGTGATATCACAAATGTATCATGAATAAAATCACTCGATGACATCTAGATCACCATAGTATTATAGGCAGATATCAATAACAAAAACCAACACACACCCTGGATTTCCTCTCCACCAATCCCCTATCCGATACCCCGAGTTTCGTCCCTGTCCCCCGTCCAAGTTCCCTTCCTCCAAAAGTATATTGTGTATTCTATACCTGGTATACCCTAGCGCAGGAACGATAAAGTGCGTATGATATTATGGTATTCTTCCTTCGCATACAAGCGAGTCATACGTACATGGTATCTCATTATCTCGATTGGGAAAGCTGAGTGTGATGGGTAGGTAGGTAGGTAGCTGAAGTGGGAAAAAGCAATGCGTGTGGCACGGAGAGCGAGGGGGGTATCGTATCTTAGTATCTCCAATCGAGGATTAGAAAACGCGACGGAGAGGAAAGTGCAATCAGTGACAGTCAGTGTATGTAAATTAGAATTTACTCATAGATCATAGAATTAGAATTTGAGAGATTCTCAGCTGTCCATCTAATCAAAATTTCAAAGAGCCACCATCCAACATTCAACATGCAGCAAGTTGAGACTCAACATATAATAAAACTTGAAAGTATATTTCTCATTTCATGTCCCAAACTCCTAAACTAAATTGGCCATTGCACGCCTGGCTATCTGCCTCGCGCCCGCTCATTGTGCATGCAAGCGCTCAAACCTCATGATAGGACTCTACTCTATCAAACCCATCGCTATGCTACCTAACCTAACCTATATGATGCTATATACCGCCGACCAAGAAGATTCGCATCTCAATGAAATCCCCAAAGACAAAACCGGTACCCAAACCAATTATTTTTTCCTCTTCTGTTTGCGCCTGCCTTTGCCTTCCTAGCCTCCCTCCATCGTCACTCTTTCTGCATCATCAATATCCAGCTAACTTCTTCTCCTTTCTCGTAAAATCATAACACACGCCTGCCTGCAGATACTCGTCTTGTGCTTATAGAAAAGCATGTACTGTGAATATGAAAGAAAGCCGTTTTTGTCCCCCAAGTCCAAGTTTCCCTTTTCCTTTTCCTAGCTTGTCCGTCCTGCATCCGCTATACCTTTCCTAGACCATTCCACCAGCCAATCCCCGACCCAACAACCGTGCTCCCAAAACGAAAGTGGAATGGAATAAGTGAGAGAATAAAGATGCATAATGTCCCGCCCGGCGCCTTACTACTGGATCTGTAACTGAAAAAATTTCGCTGTCTCCTGCTTCTTAGATGCTTGACTGCCTTTCTCCTCTGTTGTCAAAATAAAGGAAATAAATGCGATCAAATAAAAAAAGCATAGTATGTGTTTCTGAAAGAAAGTAGAAGAAAAATAGAAAATAAAAAGTCTTTCACCATGTACACCGAATCAAATCATGTAAACACAAAGTCGCAGATAAGAAGAAGAGAGAACATTGTAGATGGAGAAGAAGATGAAATCATCATATCATAGGACTCAGGCCATCTATCGGACTACCTAAAGCTGACTTCCTCTGATACCGAGGTGTCGAAGTAACACTAGGTGTCATTGGTGAAGATTGGTGCGGGTTCGAAGTGATAGAATCGTGAGCTTTTGATTTCGCCATATTCGAAGCGCCGAGTGCACGAGAGTGACTAGATTCACGTCGGCGTTTCGGTGCATCTTTAATCTTCGGATGAGTGTGACACTGTTGATTATTCATATTAGTCTCAAGTTCATTTTAATTGATAGGACAGAAATTAACAAGAACCCACTGATTCCAAATTCTCCGATATGAAGTATGAAATACGGTGTGTGCTCGGACTCTTGAGATGGAAAGATGTGAAACTTACTTTGTAAGCATGTCGGAACCAAGTGGTTCCCTTTTTCTTGCTACTGACTAGAGCCACCCATTCATTACAGCTTCCACACAGACCCTCCCATACATCGGGATTTCCGTCCATGCGTCGCGTTTCTTGCGGCTCTTGAAATGGCTGTCCAGTTGCGGCTGAAATACCATGTGTGAAACTTTTGTCATACTGTAGGTCAGATGTTAGTAACGGTTGGTTCTGAAGGGAGACTCTGGCCTAAAGCGCCGGAGAAAACATACCCAGAATGCGCTGTTCTTCAGTACGAGCCATCTTCCTGGTTTGCAAATACCGCACCATCCTTCTCTCTTGTTTCCATGTCCCCGCACCCATCTTGGTGTGTATAAATCTCCGTCAAATCGTAGTTCTTGCTCGTGAGGAATGAGATCGGGATCCGATGGGTTCATATCTTCTGGCGGAGGTGCCAACTGCTCTTCATGTAAGGACGCGTAAAGATCAGGAGGATCACTCAAATCCGAGTAGTGAGTATGTAATGCATGTGGATCGGCGTTACTTTGAAGCATGCGGAAGAGACCGTGAGAAAGTAAAGGAGGTGGTGTGTCAAATTGATGGGGCTCATGATATGAATGAGAAGGTAAAAGCATACTATTCCGTTGATAGGCTAAGTTGTTGGCCATCATAAATGGATGTTGTTGTGTCTGTAAATTGACCATATTGAGAGGCAAGTGGGGATTAGATATCGTGGGTGAAGAATGTCGGGATGACATTTGAGGTTGGTGAGGAGATTGGAATGATTCTTGGCCCTGATGGTAGACGAATGGAGAAGGGCGTCTGCTCGGTGCAGGAGCGTATGATCCTGTAGACCACCTCTTGCTTCTATTGCTATCCATGTTATATGGTGCCGAGCGCATACTAGGCCGAGGTGAGGGAGATGCTCTGCCTCTGCTTTGAGTTCGTACCAATTCGGATCTATTTTGTGGGGTCATTCTAGGGGATGCTACTGGCGATAATTGTGTTGATGACATCAAAGAATT